CTAATGGCCGTTTTTTTGGAATCCATTCGCTGCGTTAGGAGCCCAAGCGATTCCTCGGAACGAGGGCTCATCGCAGCTTAGGCCTCAGGCCTCAAGGCCTTCTTCTCCTAATGGCCGTTTTTTTGGTGCAAACTCTGTGGCCGCCATTTTGAATTGACTCACGGCGGCCATTTTGTAACTGACTGAGGCCCAGACTGCCTGTAGCTCACTCCTGAGGGCAGTGTATGACCACTTGAGGCAGAGGCCTCTAAATTTGTCTGCATCATCTCCACAGCGGATTGCACGGGGGAGGGCCAGCTCGCTCCCAAGGACGCAGTGCCCACCAATCCCCTGCCCACCCCCCTCACGGGCCGAATCATCTCTGCAGGCTCCCTTGGTGAGTTACAGCGCCGAGGGGGGGCGTTTTACCAGAGCAGACTCATCATGGCAGAGAAAACCAACAAGCCGGCCAAGAGGAAACATCAAACAGAGGCAAGTGGAAAGGACACCACCAAGCAAGCCAGGGCAAGCAGGGAAACCAATAATCCACAGATGAGGGAGGAGGAGTCCCAGAGACTGAGAGTGGCCTCCCCAGGTCAGACAGGCACAACGGGAAGGCCCATTTTTGAACCCCTTCCTCACATTGTGCCTCAGCCCCAGGGGCCTGGTCTCCCCCCAGGGGAATTTCCCAACTAGAATCAGCCACAAGGGCGGGCCCAGGGACAGGCTTGACTAGCCAGGACACCCTTAATGTGGGCCCCCAGACCACATTCACCCCCACTGCAGCAGGGCTTCACCCCCCTGAGAACCAGACTCTAATCCCGGACTACCTTCAGTCCATGATAGCTCAGGCTGTGGCTCAATTCATGGCTTCCCATGCCCAACAGCCACCCTACAATCCATGTATCATTCCAATCTCCAGATATCAGGGATGAACTTTCATCAGATCTAGAATCAACAAGGGCTGAACCATCGGGCCTGATTATGTCAGAGGATGAAAGTATCACTTCATCTGACCCCACCCCTCCTGTCGGTCTCTTTGACCATTCACTTTTATTTCCCTGCTAATCAAGGCCTGCACAACTGCAAACCTCCCTCAAGAGCAGGAGGCCCACCTACAACATCCAAGGGTCCCCATGTTAAAAGCAATGGGAGAAGTTAGGATCCCTCTCAAGCCCTGGTGCCGTAGAGAAGACATTATTCAATGTTGCCCCTTCTCTGACCTCCCTATTGGAGGTCCCTGAGATTGATGAGTCATTGAACTCATTGTTTCCCAATGCTAACATTCCTGGGGATATAAATGAGGCACTTAGGGCGGAGGATAAAAAGATTGACTCCGCATTGCGTAGTTCGCATCTGGCATCAGCCTGGGCAACAAAGGCGGCAACGTCCATGACCTTCTTCGCCAGGGCTTCAGCCCTTGGGTTACGTGAGCTCTAGGACAGGATCCCTCCGGACCAGTTCAGAGCTCACCAAAATCTGGGTAAGTTAGTGGCTATGTCCCAGTACCTAGCCGACGCTTCTCTGCACATGGCTAGATACACTGCCGGACCATCGCTGCAGACATCTCAGCATGAAGGCTCCTTTGACCCAGGAATTGGCGAGCAGACACCAAGACCAAGTGGTGTCTGGCCTCTAAACCTTACACAGGTGGACATCTCTTTGGTAAGGCACTAGAACCATACTTAACTGAAGGTAAGGACAACGTAAAACTCTGGTTAACTCATGTCACAGAGCAATTACAGGAGGCTGCCTTTCGACCAGCTCCATCCTGGGACTGGGCCCAGGCATCCCTCTATTCCTTTCAGAGACAAGAACGACAGCAGGATCGTTCAGCATGCAGAAGCAGACCACAGATCCAGGCCAAGCGGCCCCTTCAAGGCCGAGGGGCCGTTCCTCTAAACGAGGCAAGTGATCTCACAGTCTCACTTCCCATAGGAAGCTGGCTGGCCCCTTATTCCAGCACTTGGGCAGTCACCACTACAGATGCCGGCTGGCCCCTTATTCCAGCACTTGGTCAGCCATCACTACAGATGCATGGGTGTTAGACACCGTCATGCAAGGCTTGAGACTAGAATTTTGTTCTCAACCACCTGACAAATTCCGCTCTTGCCCTATCCCAACGAGCAGGTCCAGGGCTGACTTTATGTCAGAGGCCATAGCTCATTTATTACAAATACGAGCAATTGAACCAGTACACAAGACCAAGAAGGACGAGGGTTTTACTCAAACCTCTTCGTCATCCCTAAGACTTGGGGGGCTGGAGGGCAATCTTAGACTTGAAAGGTCTAGACCTTACTTGAGGTATAAGAAGTTTAAGATGCAACCACTTCAATCAATCCTGGCCAGCATCAGGCAAGGTGACTTTCTTACCTCAATAGACCTAACTGATACATTTTTCCTAACCACCGCAAATTCCTCAGATTCAGCTATGCCCAACGCCACTACCAGTACAGAGCCCTACCATTTGGCCTCTCATCGACACCAAGGGTATTTACAAGGTACTGACAGTGCTCACAGTCCACCTTAGACAAATTCCAATCAGAATTCAATGCTATTTAGATGACATACTAATTCAGTCATCATCATTCCGAAATGCTCAGTCAGACCTCGCCCTAGTCATCAAGGTCTTTCAGGAGCACGGGTTTTCTGTTAATTTCCAGAAAAGTCATACAACAACCCGGCTCCTCCATTTGGGCGCTGTTATAGACACGGACAATTGTACGGTCTACCTATCTCAGGACCGAAGGAACTCTATTCAGACTCTTGTACATCGGATCTGAAGGGACAGAGTAGTCACATTGACCTCCCTATCACAGCTACTGGGGAAGACGGTGTCCTGCGTGCAAATTGTGCCATGGGCACGCCTCCATGCCAGAGAATTATATGGCTTCTTCTTCCATTTCAGAGACTTGAACTCCCTTCAATGATGGGACTCCCCGGAGCTGTCATGGGGAGCAGTATTAGAATCAGACAGGATTACCATTACCACAGATGCAAGCCTGTTTGGGTGGGGGGCACACCTCCACACGCACTGGGCTCAAGGTCGGTGGTCCAAACAGAACCTAAAGAACAATATAAACTGGCTGGAACTCAGAGCCATACATATGGCCCTAAAGAGATTCACCAATATAGTACAGGGCCAACATGTCCTGATTTTAACCGACAACATTACAGCCAAGGCCCACGTCAACAGACAAGGGGGGACAAGGTCCAGGCCTCTCATGCAGGAGGCCAAATTGCTGGGGTCCTGGGCGGAACTGAATCTTGCCTCCATCAGGGCGGAGCACATATCCGGAGTGACCAACCAGCAGGCAGACTCACTGAGAAGAGCAACCGTGGACCATTCCGAATGGCTGCTGGATCCGAAGGTGTTCAGAGAGATCGTGGACAGGTTTGGTTCCCCAACCTTAGACCTTTTTGCCTCCCCAATCAACTCACAACTTCCCAGGTTCCTTTCCAGGTTCCCATCTCCATCAGTGGAGGGAACAGATGCACTCTGCAGTCCCTGGCCCAGGGAACTGCTCTATGCCTTCCCTCCCCTGCCACGATCAGGAAGATCCTTCGCGAACGAGCAGAGGTCCTCCTGATTGCGCCACATTGGCCGAGACACTCTTGGTCGCCGACCTGATGGAGCTCTCCGCATCCCCTCCATGGAGGATCCCAGCAAATCGCATCTCCCACATTCCAGACGCTCAATGGCTCCAGTTAACCATCTGGCACTTGAGAGGCAGGCCTTAGGCTGAGACTCATATTCGTCAAGGGTCATAGCTATGATTCAGCAATCCAGGCAACCCTCGATGAATAGAATATACGATGCCACATGGAGAGGCTCCTGTAATTGGTGTTCAGTTCGAAAAATTGACCTTTTGGCGGTTTCAATGCCAGTTATCTTGGAGTTCCTGAGGGATGGTCTAGACAAAGGGCTTTCTACAAGCACCATCCGCAGGCAGGTAGCATCACTTGCCACAGTTATTTCCTGCGGCAATGAATCCTTAACACATTACCCTATGATACGCTCCTTCCTAAAAGGAGCTAACAACGTCAGACCATCAACTGTACATAGATACCCCTCGTGGGATCTTCATCAGGTTTATAGGCTCTTGTTTCGCACCCTTTGAACTATTGACACTGGTTTGTTCAAACAGTTATCGATGAAGGTGGCATTTCTTGTTGCTGTAACTTCAGCCAGAAGGATCTCTGAACTGGCTGCTCTTCAGTGAGGAAGGACCTGTGTACTTTCCATAAGGACAGGGTAACCCTTACGCTAGGCCCCTCCTTCATGCCTAAGGTCAAGTCCTTGTATCATAGATCTCAGGAAATAGTTTTTCCGGACTTCTGTCCTAACCCATCTAATGACATAGAGGTTCAGTGGAACAAATCGGATGTGCGCAGGGCTTATATTGTTATATACAGAGAACCTCATCTTTCCACAGAACAGAGGCTCTGTTTGTGTCCTATCACCCTTCATCACTAGGTCAGAAGGTTTCTTCAACCACAATACGCAGGTGGATTAGAGTTTGTATTTCTCTGGCATACCAGTCTCAGTCACTGCGAGATCCCAGGCATATCACGGCCCATTCCACCGGGGCGCAGCTACTACAGCTGCCTGGTCTACTCAGGCCTCTGTAGAGGAAATTTGTAGAGCAGCAACATGGGCATCGCCCTCTTCCTTTGTCTGTCACTACAAGATGGATATATATGCATCTTCTATGGCTTCATTTGGCCGCAAGGTTTTAGAACACGCATTAACGTTGGATGGGACCCAGGCCCAATCTAATTCCCCACCCTAGGGACACTGGGCTTTGGTATGTCCCATCCGTGGGTTCTCCATCCAATCATGCTGGAGAAAGGGGCGTTGTCTTGCCTGAACGCCTTTTCTCAGCATGATGATGGAGAATCCACTCCCTCCCATTAGGTCAGTTGGCCTGGTTCCCATATTGTTCAGGCGCGTCGGACTAAAGTCTGAGTATCGCCTTAGCCTAAAACTGGGGTGCAGTTGGCACAGAGGGGGCGGTACTAAATTTCAGACTTAGTCTAATTGGAGCAGATAGATTAAGACAACCCATCTGTGGATTCTCCATCATCATGCTGAGAAAAGGCGTTCAGGCAAGACAACGCCCCTATCTCATTCTATTTTGAAATGATAGCAATGTCTTGCAGATCTCTATGCTCTTTTATTTTATTTTTTAAAAGTGGATGTATTTTCCTGTCATGGTGCAGTCAGAGCTATATCACCAAAGAGATTGCCTGGAATGAGTTTTCCTTAATCCCAACTTTAACTGTATTCAGAGCAGCATCAAAAGACACACTGGGGAAAGATACAATGTGATAGAAAAGACAGAAGATAGGCAAACCAAGAAAGGTGATCAAGCAACCTATGGTTATTTATTTATTTAGATTTATTATAGCTTCCTACTCTCATAGACTCTGGGTGACTTGCAAACACAATATGCCTTGTTTTTGCAAAGTTTCTCTTAGGTGCAACCTCTCTTTCCTTGCTTTTCATAACAACTTCACTCAAAGTGACTCCTCTGTCAGTCATGCTGGCTTATAATAGGAAAATAAATAGGCAACTGAGTAGGGGATGATGTCAGCATCCTGGCTAACACAGGATACAATGAATAATAAGTGTGCATGCATATTTGGAAGCAAGTGGGAGAATGCCAGAATTCAAGCCAGCCAGCTGGGCCTGCCTTGCTGTTCCAGGTCAGGACTGAAGAAAGCAATTAGCTTTTGGATTGTCCACTGCTGCTACAACTATTGAGCAAAGGTCCTGCTTTTCTTCAGTTATGAGGAATAGACTAATTAAGAATGAAATAAACTGCAGCATTCAGGAATTATGAGCAGTTTCACATTGAGATCAATCAATGGAAAGCTGTCACGGAAGTGTCAGGAAACAATGGCCACTAACCATGGACCCAATTTCATTACTACAGGCCTGCAGACAAGAGTGTTTCATATTCTTATCGTAGTACAGTATTTGTCCTCACCAAAATGGAGGTAAGTGATAGTTTCACAAGTACCCAAGACTACCAGATCATGAGCATGTCTAGTCCCTGCTTCTGGACTGTTTACAATGCTGCTTTCTGGTTCAGCATTTGAGCTTGATACTTGTGGTCTTGATTCCAGGTGGCCAATTTACTCTAGACCATGGTTTATATTGTGCTGATTTTTTCCAATGTAGTTTCATGCTTAAATAGCTTTCCAATGGGGGATTTTATCTGAATAGAACAGGTATAAGAAAAGAACACATGCCTATATCACCATATTCAATTTAAAATTTAATTTTAAATAGATACAAAAGCCATACTTGTCTTGTCTTCCAAAAAACTGCCTGCCCATAAGCAAAGCTTTTCTTATACTATGCCTTACACTTCAGATATTAATCAGAAATAGTTTTGACGATATTTTTCTCTTTTTTAAAATTTATTTTGTAGAGTTAATTGCTGTAGAAGCCAAGTTTGTTTTACCTGGTAACAATAGACTCAAACCTACAGATAAAAGCATTGTCAAATGAGTCATTTTCAAAGTAAGTTTGTTTCAAAAGAAGAATGGGGGGAAACTTACATTGTGGTATTTTTTTTCACAGTCACATAATTAATACCATTATTAATATACAGATGGGGCAATGAAAGAGACAGCAGTAAAAATTCAACAAGTGGGCATCCAAGTTGACAGTCTTCTTCTTCTTCTTCTTCTTCTTCTTCTTCTTCTTCTTCTTCTTCTTCTTCTTCTTCTTCTTCTTCTTCTTCTTCTTCTTCTTCTTCTTCTTCTTCTTCTTCTTCTTCTTCTTCTTCTTCTTCTTCTTCTTCTTTACAGAATTAGGGATATAGTAAATCTGTCAAATTAACTTCCTTTCCCTTCTTTTTTTCCTAATTGATACTTTGTTCATCTTTTCTGTTCATCAGGATGATACTTTGGAAAGAATTTGTGCAAAATTCAAGCACTTTTTGTTTTTCCTATCTATGCATTTTTATGACAATTTCTTTCCTGAATAGAAAACATTTGTATATGAAATTTTCTTAACATATACAAATGTATGCATTATTTTATGTGAATGTATATATGTGCATGTGTATGTATAAATATCAAAAGATTCAGATAATTCTACATAAAATTTGATATTTAGATATATATTAAACCTGAGAGTCATTATTGCAGACTTATTAACCTTGATTTAGAATCACAGATGTTGGAAGAGGCTATTAAAGTCATTTGGCCCAACTACTTATGAAGGTATCTGAATTAAGCATTTGCATCAGATTTGATCTCTACTTAACCTTATCCAGTAAAGGGAGGTCCATCACTTCTAGATAATTATGTCTACTACCAAATTGAACTGCTCTTACTGTTAAAAACACTCCTAATATTCATTTAGAATCTGCCTTCTTATGAGGTATATCCATTATTTTTTCTTGTGCTCTGGAATAATGGATATTGAGTCTTGACCTTTATTCTTTCAGGTATTTGAAGAATGCTCCTGAGAATACTGTGAAAAGTCATGGAAATAAACTGATGGGTCATCAAAGAAATCATTTCTGAATTCTGAATTGACAAGACTCAAATTATTCTATTTCAGATACACTATGAAAAGATCCATCTCTCTGGAAAAGATTCTAAAGCTTGAAAGGAGAGAGAATAGGATAATCAACAAATGGATGGATGGAGTTTACAATGGCAATGAGCGTGCCATTGGAAGAGATAGATTGACGTGGATAAAATCTATGTGGCCAGTATAAGCTGAAAATAACTTGATGTCACTCCCATCTATCCAATCATATTTCCTATCTTATACAATTAATTTCCTTTTACAAAATGGAGAACTTATCTCTGTTAAATTTCATTCACTTATTTTCAGCCCATAGTTTCTAGCCTAATTTTTTCCTCAACCTTGGCAAGTTTAAGTATGGACTGGGGATTTCCAGGAATTGAGGTCCACACATTTTAAAGTTACCAAGGTTAAGAAACACTATCAAATTCATTTGTATTTTGTTTGCTTCTGTGGTAAAAAAATTTCACCCCATACTATATTATCTGCAAATTTTATTAATAATCCTTTCATCAAGACATTGATAAAATGCTGCTGAATAATGAATCCTGGACTGAACTTGTGGCATTCCACTCTGTATTTCACCCCTGTATTTGATGAGAAATCATTGGTGAACTCTTTTGAAATATAATTTTCAACCCAGCTTTATTTTTATTAAATTGATCTACTTTCCATTCTTTAGTTGGATTGGACAAAATTGGACAACCATTTATCTAAAATGGTATAGGGTTTCCTGCCTGAGCAGGGGATTGGACTAGATGACTTTCAAGGTTCCTTTGAACTCTGTTAATATTAATTTGTGAATTTTAATGTTATGCAGTACTTTTAAACTGTTTGCTGAAATCAAAACATGTTATACTTAAAACATTCATATACTCTGCAATGGAAGATATCCAAGTTTTACAAAATGAGCTCAGTTTAGCCCAGGGGTAGGCAACCTTGGCTCTTTTATGACTCATGTACTTCAACTCCCAGAATTCCTGAGCCAGCCATGCTGGCTCAGGAATTCTGGGAGTTGAAGTCCACAAGTCATAAAAGAGCCAAGGTTGCCTACCCCTGGTTTAGCCTAAACAAATTGGTGCTGATTTCCATGATGCTTTAAGAAAACAATCATCTTAAAACTGTCATTCATTTTTTGTCTGCCCTAAAATCGTCCTGGACATCAGTATTAGACTAATCAGCTTGCAGTTTGCTCCCTAACTCTTTTTTATTTTATTTTTGGAGATAGGATACCATTGATGTTCTTCTAATTAACCAATTCTCCAGAATTTTTCAAAGGTAATACATATCAGTTTAACTCTATCAGCAGCAAATTCTTTTTTATCTAGAAAGTTAAAATCCTTCAAAGTAAACAGTGTTCTCTGACTAAATTTCTACCAGACTGAAACTTGTCAGTTCATTCTGCATTTCATAGTTGCCTGTGGAGCACATACCCCTTTGTGAAGCAGATAGCCAAAAGAGGAACTCTGTTATCAGTTAGCATGTTGCCTTTTTCACTGAGCAACTGGTAAATTTTTCTCTTCTCTTTATTTTGAACATATCTAAAGAATGTCCCTAGTATTCTATTTCCAGGCAGAACAATTAATCAGTGGAATGACTTGCCTCCTGAAGTTGTGGGTGTTCCATCACTGGAGCTTTTAAAGAGGAGACTGGACAGCATTTCTCTGGAATGGTATAAAATCTCTTGCTTGTGCCAGGGGTTGGACTGTAAGACCTCCAAGATCCCTTCCAACTCTGTTATTCTTTGCCAAGAATATCTAATTCTGTTCTTCAGTTTTCTGGATTTCTCCACATCATGAAACTTCCTTCATATATTCTTCTTTGCTGACTGTTTCCTCTTTCTACTTCTGAAATAGTTTCCTGTTATAAATGCCCTTTTCAGACTTTCATAAAGTTTGTTGTATATGGGCTTCTTCTGTTTTCAGGAATTTTTATTTCTTCACTGTAACTGTATAGTAGCTCCAAGGGCCATGCTATATTGGCTGCAAAATCCAGAAAACACTATAGGACTGTAGATGGCTAAAAATATGAGAAACTGGAAAAGTGATATTGTTCCAGATGTTAAGGAATGGCTTTTGGAAACTTGTGATATAATTCTTTTGTAAAAGGCAATATTTATTGGAGGGCTTTAAAGTGGCTAATGATGCAGCTCTGGTCTGGCTTCTGGTTTGTGGTCGTGCCTCATCATCAGTGTGGCTTTGGGTTTGCTTTTTGCGTGGATGTGTGGTGGTGACATCCTGTGTGGTTTTTGTGAGTGTGGGTCTGGTATCATTTTTTGTGTTAGGGAGTCGTTTGTCAATAAGGGCGGGTTTCCAAATGGCTGGTAGGCGGGAGGTATCATCTCGCTTGTTCATGCTGTGTGGGCGTTTTTCTATCTCGATGGCTTCTCTGATTATTCTGTTATTAAAATGTTCACTTTTGGCAATGGTTCTGGTATTTTTAAAGTCAATTTCATGTCCTGTGGCTTTAAGGTGTTGGACCAGGGAAGATGTTGGTTCCTCTTTTTTGACTGAGTTCTTATGTTCTTCAATGCGTGCACTTATTCTTCTGTTGGTTTGTCCGATGTATGTGGTGGGACAAGTGGTGCATGGGATTTCGTATACTCCTTGATTTTCTAATTCAATTTTATCTTTGGGGTTTCTAAGGATGGTGGATATTTTTCTGTTTGTGCAGAATGCTGTTTTGATGTTGTGTTTATGGAGGATCTTACTGATTCTGTCTGTGGTGCCTTTTATGTATGGGAGGAGGGCTTTGCCGTTTTCTTGTTCTTCGTCTTGGATTTTAGTGGGGGTTTCTTTTTGGATTAGGTTTGTAATCTTATTTCTATGGAATCCATTGGATGTTAGTACATTGGTGAGAGTGTGTAGTTCGGGTTTTAGGTGTTGTTCGTCAGCTAAGCGTTTTGTTCTGGAGATGAGTGTCTTGGCTACAGAGTTGATCTGTGCTGGGTGGTGGTGTGAGAGAGCGTGCAGATAGCGGTTTGTGTGTGTTTTCTTCTGGTAGATGGTGTGTCCTAGGGAGCCATTGGATTTCTTGTAGACTAAGACATCCAGGAAGGGAAGTTGGTTGTTAGCTTCTGTTTCCATGGTGAACTGTATTTTGGGGTGTAGGCTGTTGAGGTGTGTGAGGAAGTTGTCCAGTTTTTCTTTCCCATGTGGCCAGATTATGAAGGTGTCGTCTACGTATCTGAGCCAGAGTTTGGGTTTGTGATCCGATTTTTCTAGAGCTTGGGTTTCAAAGTGTTCCATGTAGAGGTTGGCAATGACAGGTGAGAGGGGTGATCCCATGGGTGCTCCTTCTGTTTGTTTGTATTTTTGTCCATTATAGATGAAGTATGTGTTGGATAGGCAGTGGTTGGTCAGATCTAAGATGTGTTTGGGGGGGTTATATTTGTTTTGGATAGCTATCAAGGCTTCTTTGATAGGCACTTGGGTGAAGAGGGATATGACATCGAAGCTCACGAGTAGGTCGCTGGGCTGTAAGTTTTGTTTCTTTATGATCTCTATAAACTGGAATGAGTTTTTTACATGTGAGGTGATGGATTCTGCATAGGGCTGTAGTTGTTTGGCGAGAAATTTGGCTAGGTTTTGTAGAGGTGAGCCTATGGAGCTGACTATAGGTCTGAGTGGGGTTCCTTCTTTGTGTATCTTGGGGAGACCATAGAGTTTGGGGCATCTGGATGATTTCTCTCTGGGAATGATTCTTTGCTGGATCTCTTCGCTAATGGGGGAGGCTTTTATTTTGGATCTGGTGGTTTTTTCCAGGTAGGTGGTGGGATCTGTATTTAGGGGTTTGTATGTGGAATCTTGGAGTAGGTTGGTTAATTTGGTTTGGTAGTCAGATGTGTTCACTCACAAAAACCACACAGGATGTCACCACCACACATCCATGCAAAAAGCAAACCCAAAGCCACACCGATGATGAGGCACGACCACAAACCAGAAGCCAGACCAGAGCTGCATCATTAGCCACTTTAAAGCCCTCCAATCCATACATGAAGCAAACTGACACCCTCCATGAAATGAGGCACGACCACAAACGCGAAGCCAAAAAATAGCAAGGCAGCCCAAAATCTTAAACCCCTCTGCAACTCAGACTAACCTGAGCACAACCAAACAGAACACTCCCCCAGCCAATCAGAGCACAGCCAACCCCCCAGCCAATCAGAGCACAGCCAACCCCCCAGCCAATCAGAGCACAGCCAAGCCCCTAACCAATCAGAACACACCTCCACCCAATCAGAACACAGCCAAGCTCCCACCCAATCAGTTCATACCCCCACTGGCAGTTAAAAGGAAGAAACAGCTAAGACCACACATTGCTGCTCGAAGCACGAAGCTGAAAACACCAGCCTGAAGATGACGAATGGGACTTCGTCGAAACGTCGCCAAGACACTTCCAATTTTACGCGGGAGAAAACCCGAACAACTAAAGACCTACATACAAACACCCGCGAAAACCTCAGAAAACAAATATCGAACCTCTACGGGGAGGAAATCCACCATCTGACCAGGACCTATGAAAAACCTGAAGTCCAAAGAGCTTCCATTTTATGCGACCTCACATTCCTACGCAACTGCCGAGATCAAAATCTAATCCCCACATGTTTCCAACTGAAATTCCACTCCAACTCTGCAGCCACCAAACGGATCCTGAAAAGAACAGAATTGGCCCTAATCAGAAATGAACTTCACACAAAAAGATTCCTCCTAGACCGAATTAACAAAGATCTCCTCACACTCCACCTCAAACTCAGCAACAAGATCCACCCCGCACTTTGGGACAAATCCAAACAACTCGCCGTCTGGAGAGCCGAAACACAGACCACCCTCAAGACAGATACACACACCAACAAACTCCGAAGACTACAAGAACGCCAGAAACAAACCCCTCCTCCCTCACAGCCACACATGAAACAAACAGTGCATAACATCTCAGATAGGATCCTCACCAAAGCCGAAACCAATGTCCTTTCCAAAGGATTCAACTTTGCAGTCACTCCCAAACACATCCCCACTGAAACCATTATATGTGGAGTTGAAAAACCAGCCTGACCAAAATCAACCCCGACGACGCTAACAGAATCAGACTCGAAATCACCAACATCCTCTGTACCAGCAAGCCACCCAAAAGCAACTTACCCAAAGAGGAACAGACAGCACTACGTAACCTGAAAGAAGACACCAGCATAATAATCCTACCAGCAGACAAGGGCAACGCCACGGTGGTTATGAACACATCTGACTACCAAACCAAATTAACCAACCTACTCCAAGACTCCACATACAAACCCCTAAATACAGATCCCACCACCTACCTGGAAAAAACCACCAGATCCAAAATAAAAGCCTCCCCCATTAGCGAAGAGATCCAGCAAAGAATCATTCCCAGAGAGAAATCATCCAGATGCCCCAAACTCTATGGTCTCCCCAAGATACACAAAGAAGGAACCCCACTCAGACCTATAGTCAGCTCCATAGGCTCACCTCTACAAAACCTAGCCAAATTTCTCGCCAAACAACTACAGCCCTATGCAGAATCCATCACCTCACACGTAAAAAACTCATTCCAGTTTATAGAGATCATAAAGAAACAAAACTTACAGCCCAGCGACCTACTAGTGAGCTTCGATGTCATATCCCTCTTCACCCAAGTGCCTATCAAAGAAGCCTTGACAGCTATTCAAAACAAATATAACCCCCCCAAACACATCTTAGATCTGACCAACCACTGCCTATCCAACACATACTTCATCTATAATGGACAAAAATACAAACAAACAGAAGGAGCACCCATGGGATCACCCCTCTCACCTGTCATTGCCAACCTCTACATGGAACACTTTGAAACCCAAGCTCTAGAAAAATCGGATCACAAACCCAAACTCTGGCTCAGATACGTAGACGACACCTTCATAATCTGGCCACATGGGAAAGAAAAACTGGACAACTTCCTCACACACCTCAACAGCCTACACCCCAAAATACAGTTCACCATGGAAACAGAAGCTAACAACCAACTTCCCTTCCTGGATGTCTTAGTCTACAAGAAATCCAATGGCTCCCTAGGACACACCATCTACCAGAAGAAAACACACACAAACCGCTATCTGCACGCTCTCTCACACCACCACCCAGCACAGATCAACTCTGTAGCCAAGACACTCATCTCCAGAACAAAACGCTTAGCTGACGAACAACACCTAAAAACCGAACTACACACTCTCACCAATGTACTAACATCCAATGGATTCCAAAGAAATAAGATTACAAACCTAATCCAAAAAGAAACCCCCACTAAAATCCAAGACGAAGAACAAGAAAATGGCAAAGCCCTCCTCCCATACATAAAAGGCACCACAGACAGAATCAGTAAGATCCTCCATAAACACAACATCAAAACAGCATTCTGCACAAACAGAAAAATATCCACCATCCTTAGAAACCCCAAAGATAAAATTGAATTAGAAAATCAAGGAGTATACGAAATCCCATGCACCACTTGTCCCACCACATACATCGGACAAACCAACAGAAGAATAAGTGCACGCATTAAAGAACATAAGAACTCAGTCAAAAAAGAGGAACCAACATCTTCCCTGGTCCAACACCTTAAAGCCACAGGACATGAAATTGACTTTAAAAATACCAGAACCATTGCCAAAAGTGAACATTTTAATAACAGAATAATCAGAGAAGCCATCGAGATAGAAAAACGCCCACACAGCATGAACAAGCGAGATGATACCTCCCACCTACCAGCCATTTGGAAACCCGTCCTTATTGACAAACGACTCCCTAACACAAAAAATGATACCAGACCCACACTCACAAAAACCACACAGGATGTCACCACCACACATCCACGCAAAAAGCAAACCCAAAGCCACACCGATGATGAGGCACGACCACAAACCAGAAGCCAGACCAGAGCTGCATCATTAGCCACTTTAAAGCCCTCCAATCCATACATGAAGCAAACTGACACCCTCCATGAAAATGAGGCACGACCACAAACGCGAAGCCAAAAATAGCAAGGCAGCCCAAAATCTTAAACCCCTCTGCAACTCAGACTAACCTGAGCACAACCAAACAGAACACTCCCCCAGCCAATCAGAGCACAGCCAACCCCCCAGCCAATCAGAGCACAGCCAACCCCACAGCCAATCAGAGCACAGCCACGCCCCTAACCAATCAGAACACACCTCCACCCAATCAGAACACAGCCAAGCTCCCACCCAATAAGTTCATACCCCCACTGGCAGTTAAAAGGAAGAAACAGCTAAGACCACACATTGCTGCTCGAATCACGAAGCTGAAAACACCAGCCTGAAGATGACGAATGGGACTTCGTCGAAACGTCGCCAAGACACTTCCAATTTTACGCGGGAGAAAACCCGAACAACCGAAGACCTACATACAAACACCCGCGAAAACCTCAGAAAACATATATATATATGTATATGTATATGTATATGTATATTTATATGTAGGTGTTTGGTTATTCGGGTTTTCTCCCGCGTAAAATTGGAAGTGTCTTGGCGACGTTTTGACGTTTCGAAACGTTGCCAAGACACTTCCAATTTTTCACGGGAGAAAACCCGAATAACCAAAGACCTACATACAAACACCTGCGAAAACCTTAATGTTATCCTTAATAACATTAAAAATGTGAATCCTGGGTATACACATATCAATAAAAATGTAGAAAAAATGAACACCAGGATAAAAATAAACAAGACTATTCAACATAAACAAGCTTGTAAGAGTTACTGAGCTTTCGTCGGCCAGACTACCAACATCATCAGAGTTGGAATGCTAGGTGATTAGGGAGCTTGCCTATATAGCTGCCTGTCTCTGTGCCCGACTTCTCGGTGCATCATCGGCCCATTGATTGTGTTAATCTGCAACATGCTAAGTTGATTCACATCCGGCAGCCTGTTGGTGGACCCGATGGTTGTGTTCAGATCCTCCATTGCTTTTCTAGCACACGTGTGGGCCCCTGGGGGGCAGCTGTCAAGCCGTCTCTGCTCTTTATCTCTCTCCCCTCTCATTTTGGAGCGATCTCTCAATCTGCATTTCAAACACCCTGTAGGGCTGTCATCCTCCCCTAAGGCCACCATTGTTTCACCCGTAGCTCCCTCTCCCCAATTCTGCAAAGAGCAGCTGTTTCGATGTTCCTGCTCCCTATTCCCCCCCTTTTTGTCTGTCCTTCTGAACCGCTTCCGTGCATCTGTTTCCAACATCTGATCTTGACACGTCGTTAGTTTGTTGTCTCCTCCCATAGCAGCCATTGCCGCCTCACCTCTAGCCCTGTCGCTCGGAAGGAGAGACAAAAAGGGGTGGGGGAATAGGGAGCAGGAACATCTGAACAGCTGCTCTTTGCAGAATTGGGGAGAGGGAGCTATGGGTAAAACAACGGTGGCCATAGGGGAGGATGACAGCCCTACAGGGTGTTTGAAATGCAGATTGAGAGATCGCTCCAAAATAAGAGGGCAGAGAGATAAGGAGCAGAGACGGCTTGACAGCTGCCCCCAGGGGCCCGCACACATGTTATAAAAGCAATGGAGGATCTGAACACAACCATTGGGTACACCAACAGGTTGTTGGATATGAATCAACTTAGCATGTTGCAGATTAACACAATCAATGGGCTGATGACATGCTCGAGAAGCCGGGCACAGAGACAGACAGCTATATAGGCAAGCTCCCTAATCACCTAGCATTCCAACTCTGATGACGTTGGTAGTCTGGCTGACGAAAATTCAGTAACTCTTTTACTTACAAGCTTGTTTATGTTAAACAGTCTTGTTTATTTTTATCCTGCTGTTCATTTTTTCTACATTTTTATTGATGTATATATATCTCATAGTCTAGTTTGTAATATCTTTCATTTTTTATTTGTATTTATTCTTTAAGCTTACATATGGTCCTGTTTAACTGTGTATGGGTCTCTGAAGGAGAATAGAAGGAGTCTATGCTTGCTAGAAATTGTCTCCCAACAGAAGATCCATGGTTGCTAGAGACTGTCTCCCAATAAATATTATGATAATTAAAGACCTCCATCACTAATACTTTATGATCCTTTGAGAGATTTGTAATTTGCTTTTGGTAAGAATTTTTGGTTGGGTAGGTAATAGCAGATGTCAACGACAGTACTGCTTTTCTTCTCTTCTCCAGTTATTTTAATTTAGGTGTTTTCTACATTATCATTATATTTACTTCCTTAGATTTCTGAGCAGGTGTATATATTTTTTATATACCGTGCAAATTCATCTTGCCATTATCTTGTTTGTTTTTCATATTCAGAGTTTACAGTGAACAAAAGGCATGATTATGAGCCAATCTTCTTTCTATTTTGTTTTCACTGAGTGACTTCATGGATTCAATTACAACAACTCTTTAAAAAAGTGTACATCTAAAAATTCTTCTGATTAACTTTGCCATGCTTCAGCCAAATATATTTTTCCATTTCCTACAAAGTGCAACTTATTTTGTGCCAGCAGTCCTTGTTTTACCAATGGTCCTAGAAAGCAACTTCTTACATAGATACCATTTCTAAACCCAGTCAACCCACTTGCTGTGTTTTTCCCCTTTTTTCTTGGTTCTCTTCTGTACACTCAAAAGATGAATAAGAACACTAGTTTAGCACCCCCCAGTCTTATGTCTGGATCTTTGAAGTGATGATTCATGTTATGCTTTGAAGTATTAACTGTGCATACCTGGATTAGCAGGAAGGAATAACCATCAGTGAACTTGTTAAGTCTTAGAAACTGCTCTGTCACATCCTTGATTTGATAAGCTAGAAACGAAGAACATCAGAGTTCCAATCAGTACTTGAAAATCTATATAAATTAATATAAAACCATATAAGATAATTTTGTCTCCCTATAAGTGCTTGGCTATTATTCTATGTACTCATTTTAATCCAAATGACCCCAAATTTGTTCCTCTTTAAAAGAAGACTAAATAGCAGTTTACATGTTACATGTTGCTTACATGAAGTTGTTTTCTGTTGTAAAACACTGGTATCAGGAAATAATTCTGGGGAAACAATCTGTTTCAATCTGAATCTACTTTATTGATGGCACTCATTTGCTGTGGTAAGTTGTCAGAACTGCGGTACATCTTAACTTGGTGATATCTCTGTTACAAGCCTCTGAAACTGAATATATAGATTCTGATACAGAATATAGTTATTTTATGATTGAGTGAGTTGCCTGGAACCTGGCACATCATTTGCAGAATGGTGGTGGGGAATAACTCATATAGGTAGTTTGCTTTGAATGACTCATGCTGTAAAGCAATAAGTATGACCTCAACTGACATATGTGATGTGATATTACTTTCTGATAGCTGAATACATTCAGTGGCAAGTGGGGTGATCAGCTTGTTCCACAATGTGTACTTTTATCACTTGCATTTCTAAAGCCACAGATTATGCTTTGCACATAAAATAGTAATTTCATCGAAGGAAAAATAAACAGCTAATCAACAAAAATATACCTTTGGGTTCTACAGTATTTCAGTGTTTAAATAGAAAAGCACAGATATACATGTAGATACAAATCCTATAATGTGCAACATTTCTCACCATGGAGGAAGATTGTGACCAGATTAGGCATTTTCATTCTGCTACCCTAAAATGGTTGATGCATAATTTTTTTTTCTTTGGGGTTTTTTTTATATTTAAACTGGGCTAAACACACATTTGATACATCTTCATAGAACTTCCCTGTAGAAAAGGCTATCCTAAGAGTGATCCAAAAGATACAAAACCAAGTAACATAAACCTTAGAATCCGAGAATTATAGAGTTGGAAAGGACAACAAGAATCATGTCATCCAATCTTCTACAATGTGCAGGAGAAGCCATGAAATCATTCACAAGAGGTAGCTGAACAGATGATCTACATCTTATTAGAATTAGATTGTGATATTCAGAACTATGCTGGATTTGGGATTTCTTTTCTGGTTTTTGTATGTTTTTTATTATATACACAGCTCTTCCACATTCAAACAATATTACTCACACTTGCTGTATGTGAGCTGCAATACATCATTCTATCATGTTGATCTTTTTGTCCTTCATTAGTTATCCTCTTAATGTACAAAACAACTCTAAGAGTAATTAAGCTGTCCAGCAAAATGAGATAGGAAAATGATGAAATGATAAAATGGATTCACCTCAGGAAGAATAAATATTAAAAAAAACCTCCTTATAAGTACAAATAATGCACATCAGGAAGAAAAGTTAAAATCTCCCTTCTTATCATATTATTAGTTTTCTACTTATAGAAAAAAAACCCAATGTAATTGCTAATTCAGCTTTATGGTATGTTACAGAAGCTGTTGGGTTTCTGACATATATATATATATATATATATATATATATATATATATATATATATATATATATATATATATATATATATATATATATATATCTCCTCTTCCCCTTGGCTTGGGCTTTGTGTGTTTGTGTGGTGGGGAAGTATAGGGAGAAGGGAAGTAATCGTATATTTTTTTCAAGATGATAAGGGAAAATTGGCTGGCTGTCAGCAATTTTTGCTTAGGGCAGACAGTTTCTAGACATGGAAACCTGAAGTTTGAGGCATAATTGTGCTGCCAGAAATAATAAAAGAGATGTTGTAATGAGACTTTAATTTTTATTGAGGCCCAGCAGCTGCTGATTTCTGTGGAGCATGATGACGTCTTTATGGTATATTTTATGATGAGTGGATGATGGCTATCTGCCCCCTAGCACATACTATGGTTAAAATGTCTTTATAGGAACCTGATTTTGAGGCAAGGTTGGTTGAAATAGAACTCTGAAATTCCGCAGTATCTTGATTTTGATTGCAAAAGAGGCCAACCATACTACATGAGAAGTATGAAAACTTTTACTCAGAAATTCAGCTTAAATAAATCCTGAACATTGTGAAGTTTAAAAATAAATTGGTCTTGAAAATATCATTTGACGGATGCAGAAAGAGAGGGATTAATTTTTTAAATATGGCTTTATTATTGAATGTGATTATTTTGCTGGGTCATCCTTTTAGAATTTTCCCAATACAAACTACTTTTGCTTCTCAAGCATTGGGTTAAATGGAAATACTCCTAGGTGCTCACTGAGACATTTTCTGTCTCCAATTTTCAGGAAACATAACTAAAGCTAATTAGTTGCTAATGAGAGCCTCTTGCAGATTTTGGTAGGCTTAAAGGCAGGATTGTTATCTCAAGAAGTGACTCATTTGGATAATAATATATACCATGTTCAGGTGAGAGAATGGGCTTGAAGGTGGCATCTTCCTTTACCTACTAGTCTCCCCCTGACTTGTCCAGCCTCCTCCTTTGTAGCATTGACTGTAGGGAGACTGACTTATGGCATATGGGCCAATCTATAAGCAAGCTTGTAGCTATTGTCTTGGGACTCTAATGGCAATGCTTACTACAATAAGAAGTTTAGAGGTAGCATCTTGAATCTGGTTTGGCATTATTATATCAAACTTCAGAGACTAAAAGGAAATCCAGGTATTGTTTCCTGTCACCACCTGCTGGATACAGTTTGCAATTTTTGCTAGAATAACATTGTTATTTTTTCTGCACTTTACAGTATGTGGCTCACTAGAAGCACAAATCCTTACAGGCAATATTACTATGAATAAAGATTGCACAGATTTCTATCTGCTGATCCCAAGGTAGAGGGGAAGAAGAACATTTGGAAATTGGGAGTAGTGGTTGTTGTTTATATCATTAAATTCTTGTTGATGGACCTTTGTCTGATAACATGAATACTGCTATTTCCACATATCTTGGGTATCTGAGTGGGAAAGGCAAGGGTTTCTCTCCTGATACCCAAGTTATGGCAAGGACTTTCTGGGCTAAATGCTCAAACGAGTAGTTCATGCTAGTCAAAACAGAGATAGCGAATCCAGTCAATGCATTTTTTAAACTTGTATTGCACGGAATCTAGAGACACCACTATAGAATCCTGATTATATGACAGCCATGCTGGATACATTTAACCTTTACTGCACCTTGGGTAAAATGTGCTTCCCCCAAATAATCTTGTGCAATCTGCAGACTCGGCTTCAGTTCTACTGGTAGCATTGAAGGATATGCCCAGTTTAATACTTTGGGAGCATTACAGTCTATTTAATATTCATTCTATTAACAATTTTATGAAAATAGAAATAAGAAAGAATATTGTAGCTTTTCCAGTTTTTGCTCTGGCCCTATCTACTTACTTTATCTTAAAGTAAGTATCTTAAAATAATTGACTTCTGCTTTAAAGATAGAGATAGGCAGCTAAGTGCCCTCCAGATGTTTTGGCCATAATCATAGGAATCCAAGGAGAGAGCAGAAGGGGAGAGGGAGGGAAGTGATGAAGAACACAATAACCACTAACTCTGCCCCTTACATGCTTATTTGCATTCTCCTAATGCAAGTATGAAAGGGTACAGCTTGCTTTGTGAATGACACAATTTCATTTGTCATTTTGGTATTAAGAGCACCCTCCTATAGCTATATCTCCCCTAAAGGCTATACTTTGAACTGAAGGCTACAAGATTACTTACAGCTTTTGTGGACAAATATAAAGAACCTGAGAAAGTAAAGTGGGTATATATCACCCATCTTTGCTTCCCACTGCAAGCTGGGTCTAGTTGGATTAACTATTCTTTTGCTTCCTTATACAGAGGCTCATATTATTTACTTCTGTATGGAGGTTTTCCCTTCAACCTCTTCTAAAATTTCTACCAGCCTTTCAGATCTTTTTGAGAAAAACCGTAAACTTTTGTCTAAAAGTTTAAAATTTAATACTGTATTCATGGCATACAGGCTAGGCTGGCTTTTACTTCCTTTGGATGTAAATTTTGGTGTATGTCTCTCCAAACATTAAAATGTCAATATCCTCTTTAGACTATGTTCTTATGTCTTTCTCTTCAGAACTAAGCAAATAGTTCCTTGTTCCAAAAAAAAGATACAGTCCTTATACAGCTTTTTAGTGTCCCTTGATTTGTCTGAGAAAGTAAATTTAGAAAAGAAAAAATAATTCTGAAACACTATCCTGGACTTAAATATTGTGTCAATGCCTCCCTCTGCTGAACAGTTTACAATATTCTTCAGTCTCTTAGTTTGTTGATGGTTTCCATCTCTATGACAGGCCAGATACAGATATAGATGGGAAATTTGTTTGCTAGATTTGCTACATGTGGTTAACACATCAAAAATGCACAGGCTATAGAGGTTTGAGCAAAAATATTGGCTTCTTGCAGTGCAATTCAGAAGCTGAATGGTAAACGGGGTTATTGCAGTTTGTCTGGGACTTTTTGGCACATTGAAAATAGCTTCTTCTGTTCCAGAATGTCACCATTTCATCTCTTTGTCAGAATCTTTTTTCTCCACTTCTCTGTTTTTCAAGGAAAGTGGTAAAAAGAACAAGACAAGAGGGAGAGAAAAAAGGAATTCTGCCAATGATATGAGAACCATTTACTTACACTTCCCTGTGTTTAGTTTGTGTAATTTTAACTTGAGATGGTAAGCGGTCAGTGTCTTTGCAACAGGGCATTGGTTAATGGGCTATAAAAACAAAAGCTATCATTGGATTTAGAAGCCATATTGAGGAGGAATGATGTCATAAATGAGAACAGCTTATTATTATTTTTATAAATATTTTATTAATTTTCTAGTTTTACAATCATAAGTACTTAATAAACAACATGTTGTCTGGGTCCATCAGTAATTCAGTGGTACATATTAACTTCTTCAATCTAGCTACAACATTACACCATCCAGTGTT